AAATATTTTTAATCTGTATTTAAAAACAAAGGTGGTAAATATATATATATATATATATCAAATTTTATATGAAATTCAAGACTAATTCTTGATCACACAATCTAAAATCAGCAATGCCATGTCCGATGCTCAAATTATGGATGATGAATAATTGGCGTTTTGGTCGCTATCATATCAGTCCGCAGCCGTCAACAGTCAACAGCTGATCGTACGTCTCTCCTCAAACTCATCAGTCGCCAAAATTTACAAGCCGTCTCGCACGTGCGAAGACCGTCCAAGTGTGATAGTCAAATTTTCGGACAACAAGATTGTACTCTCCCAGTTAACCCCCACAGGCTCTCTGCTACTTCCGACTTCTGTGGAGCACTCCCACCCATATCCATTTCCAGAAATTCAGATTCAGATTCTAATCCTCCCTCATTTCTCTCCCAATAATCAACCCACCCAAACTCTCTTTTATTCCTCTCTTCATCCTCTTCTATCTCATCTCCGGCGAGTCACTCCGGCCAACTCAGGCACGATCTCGTTAGTTTCCCTGTAATATGCGTTTCTGCTCTTTATTGGTTCTCCGCATTCTTTTTATGGGTTTTGTTTGCAGTATGGTTGAATAGGGATTAAGGAGATTGTAGATTGTGGGAAATCCCCTTTTGGGTTTTTGATTGTGGGTCCGGAAAATAATTGTCAATAAAACTCATGTTTTTGCTTGAAAATTTTCAAGGATTCGACTTTCCTTGGGTTGCTTTTGTCTTAAAATTTTTATCTTTTCTTTAGTTTGGTATTTATTATTTATTTTTTTTTGGGTTTACTTATTGCAGCTGTAGATATGGACACTGGTACAGGTCCAAGCTTGTTCCCACTGCACCGCTGCAAGACAATTCACCTGGTTGGTTGTATTTAGTTTGCAATTTTTATGTTAATTACATTGCAGATTTGAAGCTGCTATATATTTGGTTTGAAGAACATTCAAGATGGCCTTCTTTCTTGGATTTTGCTCGCAAATCAAGGCATTTGAGGTCTTATAAAACAATGCATCCAGGTGAGGCATGCTCAAGGGATCCACAATGTAGAGGGAGATAAGAACTTTAAAGCGTTAATGTCTCCCAAATTTTTTGATGCACACCTTACACCACTAGGCTGGCGGCAGGTAGTTATGTTTCTGTATTTCTAACAAATGCAATGTGATTCAGTTCGTCCTCTGACTGTCGTCTTGAATAAGAATCTTTTACTCCATGATGGATCTTTTATAAAGATTTTTTATTTTTTATTTTTTTGCTTTCTTTTTTTGTTGTTGTAATTTTACAGGTTGATAATTTGCGTGAGCATGTCAAAACTTGTGGCCTCTCCAAGGGGATAGATTTAGTCATTGTATCCCCTTTATTAAGGTATTGACGAGGACATTTCATACTCCTTAGAAGCTTTCAAGCTGTGCTTTGACAATGATGTCATAATTCTCATGATTTATGTTAGTTTCTGATTAGCTTGAAAGAAATTTCAAGGATATAAATTCAACTCTAGTTATTTTAGCTTGGGAAGCAAAAATTAAATTAAAAAGAAAAACTCGCAATGCATTGATATTGAAATGCTCATCTAGATTTTGCTCCTTACGTTTGGATTGGTGGTTTGGTATAACTTGTATTTGTATGGTATTTGTATGCTGCATAGTCATCTGCAGCTTACTCTTCCACATACTTACATTTTTTAATCCATTCCTTTCTTTAGTTTATTTAGAAACAAACTTTGGTCTCTTTTAATAATAGGTGTCTACCAATGGGACTTCCATGTTAATGAAAAGACCAACTGTTTATTTCCTGATATAAAATTTTAATGTAATATTATTTTTGATGTTTGCTGCTTTGCACCTTTCGGAAAATTTTATGCCTTAAAATTGGCAGACTTATAGATTTTTCATATGTTTGAATTATATGTAAATCTGCTGTTGTTTATATTTGTCATTGTATCCCCTTTATTACGGTATTGATGTGGGCATTTCATACTGCTTTCTCAGAAGCTTTCATGGTGTGCTTTGATGATAATGTTGTAATTCTTATGAATTATGTTGGTTTCTGATTAGCTTGGAAAAATTTTCAAGGATATCAATTCAACTCTAGTTATTTTAGCTTAAGAGTGGGAAGCGAAAGACAAAAACAAAAACTTGCATTGCATTGACATTGAAATGCTCCTCTAGATTTTGCTCCTTATGTTTACATTGGTAGTTTGGTCTCTTTTAATAATAGGTGTATGCCAATGGAATTTCCATGTTAATAAAAAGACCAACTGTCTATTTGCTGATATAAAATTTTGATGTAATATTCTTTTTGATGTTTACTGCTTTGCACCTTTAGGAAAATGTTATTTTCCTTAAAATTGGCAGATTTATAGATTTTTCATGTGTTTTACTTCTATGTAAGTCTGCTGTTGTTATATTTACTATTTAGAGGATAAGACCTGCTAATTTGTCTCATCTAGACTGTGAACTGACTATTAGTATTGAGGCTGTACACATTTAATATCAACAGACTTTGTAGTCAACTCACGAAAAAGATGTCCTAGAAAGTAGAATTATGAGATGTTAGTGTCCTCCCCTTTTAGAACTTGAATGGTTTATAATGAAGCATTCTTCTAATCATTAGCCAGAGTTTTTGTATCATGATCTCATTATCTTGTAGGACACTGCAAACAGCTGTTGGAGTATTTGGTGGTGAGGGTTACACAGATAGGATGGATATAGTACCACTTATGGCAGCAAATGCAGGAAACAGTGGCCGTGCTGCAATTTCAAGTCTTAACTCCCCACCATTTATTGCTGTAGAACTTTGTCGAGAACATATGGTGCGTATGTAAAAATCTCTTGTAATGTACTCCCTCTTTTTTGGGTCATGTATACCTCTTACATTTTGTTAAGGGATGTTCTGTTTTGTTTTGGCAGGGAGTTAAATCTTATGGTCGTTACCATTGCAATAGAATATGTTATTATCGTGATTGCTAATTTTCTTTGAGATAGCTTGAGTAGGAAATATTTAATGGTTTCGCTGGTAAGGCGTTTACCATTCATTGTAGTCCTTGGTCTGGGTGGTAGTTAATGCTTCTGGTGATGTGCTTGAACTCTCAATGCATTGGGAACCATTTTCATTTAACAAGCTTAAGAGTTTGGTTTATAATTTTTAGTCTTCATAGCAGTTGTTGGGTCACTTCTTTGAAGATCCTGCTTCAAATTTCCTTCAAAAAGATACCTTGCTTTGCTTGCAGAATTATCACTTTTTACCGAAATATAAAGCTGGATGACATCTAGATTACCCATTTCACAATCTTTCTTCAGTTAGAGTGTAACTAGACATTGCATGTTCTTATAGTGAAAGATTAATGACCAAAGCTTCTATTTACCAAATGGACTTGAACATGCAATGTTCATTACTTGGTTAATAGGGAAAAGACTGTGGATATGGGTTTCCTTGTTTCAAGATTCAACCATCAAGTCTTTTTATCTTTTTTTCCCAAACATCGTTTGTTGCAGGGAGTTCACCCTTGTGACAAGAGGAGAAATATCAGTGACTATCAGTTTCTTTTTCCTGCTATTGATTTTTCACTGGTAAGTAACCAGCTTTATGTTATACCTAAAAAAGTGATTACCCAAATTCTTCCAGGTTTGGTTACTGATCCAATTTTGTCACAGATTATGGTACACTTTTATGGGTGCTGTGTTGAATTACTTTTGGGTTTTTATCCAGATAGAAAGCGATGAGGACATATTGTGGAAGGCCAATGTTAGGGAGACAAACGAAGAAGTTGCAGCTAGGGGATTGAAGTTTATGAACTGGTGAATATCTTGTTTACTCTTTGATTGCATGTCAAAAGCAATATATATTCTTTAAAACATATTGTTGTTGGAGATTGTGACCAATACAGGTGTATGTGGGATTGCTAATCTGCTAAATGGGACTAGGGTGCCTTTCAGATTTATCAATAAATTAATTGTTGTGAATGTTAAATGATGCGAGAGATTTTTCGGAACTCAAGTGTCTGATCATGCAGTATGTTTAAATATTGTCATCAACATTAACTTTCTCAATCTCGGAGCAAGGATAGTGTTCTTGTTGATCTCACACTGTCTTATTACCAGGTTGACACTCATTATCTTTTAATACCTCTAACTTCATTAACTAGTTCTTTAAATTATAATTATTCATATGAACAAATTGTTTTCTGAATTCCTCAAAAGAGACATGTTGTCTGCCAAAGTAGTTGCTAATATATGTTGAGAATTTAGCTTGATGTAAATGTACAAGGAACCTTAGCTTGTCTCTTCAATTCTGTTTGCAGGTTGTGGACCCGGAAGGAGAAGGAGATAGCAATTGTTACCCACAGTGGGTTCTTGTTGCATACATTAAGTGCATTTGGAAATGATTGTCATCCGTTGGTGAAAAAGGAAATATGCAAACAGTAAGCATCCACAGATTCCTCTTTCTTTAGTTATAAGATGCTGTGACTCTAGACAAACTTAAACATGAAATCTTACCTTTCTTTGTTCTGGTATTTGATCTTTATTCCATTGTTTAGCAGATGCACCCAATTAGCTAGGTACTGCAATCTTTTCCAGTAAATATCACATTGAAACTTTTCCTATCTAAACTTAGAGGTTTCAGGATGATACCATCTATTCTATGCTCGCATTGTCTATTTTATAGTTTTGTAACTAAGAATGCTCATTTGGTATCTACATGCATGTCCCATATACAATTGTTTCTTCGAGGTAGAATTACCAGTTGCAAAGAAAAAAGTGTGTTTTACCAGGGAAAACACATAATACACTAAATCGGGAATCTGCTGGGAAATTGAATTGTACTGCTATTCAGCTCCTTCAAAGGAGCTAACATTTTATTTTCTATTCACAGCTTTGCAAACTGCGAGCTTCGTTCCATGGTCATTGTTGACAGAAGGTGATGAGCTGTTTATATCTCAACTTGTTCATGAATATATCTTGAAGTCCCAATTTGGCTTATTCATGAAACATGATCCTTTGTTATTCTCTTCTCCAGCATGATCGGATCGGATTCCTCAACAACTAACTACCCTGGGAGGACTCCTGCACGTTTAGACCTTCCCAGTGATGTTTCAAATGAGAAGACTGAGAAAGGTTCCGATGCCAACTCCGATATCTGAAAGTCATGTTAATGCTCATTGTTTAAGGACAGCATCCTTTGAAACTCTGTATCATTGTTCTTCACATGGTATGTTATTTTCACTTTGGTTTTAAAAAAAAAAAACAGAAACACTGGAACAGATGCCTTATTTGGAAACTGCAATGCCTTTAGATTCTAACAGCAACCTTTAGATTATTAATGTTCTATCAACAACTTTTAGATTATTAATGTTCTATCAATAATGATTTGACATGTAAGCAAAACTGAGGACCTTTGATTTTCTTACAAAAGGAACATTTAAATGAAAAGGGGCCTTTATATTCAGGGCTCTCCGTCCAAAAACTAGTTTTGTGCAGTTTGGTTTCTGTACAAAACATTTCCCTCTTCTATGTCACCCGGACCAACGTCAATTGTCGTGCAACCCCACTTCTTGATTACATGTGAAATTATGGTTGGTCGTCTGTTCGAGGGTTCTTTCTTACCAACCGAACTTTCCAAACAATTTCACCGAACAAAACGGCTATTAGAAAAGTAGCCGTCCAAAGAAAACTTGTCTTGCACAGACAAGCAATATGAAAATTGGGATCCATTCATCTCCGCTCTTTGTTGGTGGCTGTAGTTTCCCCTTCTGTCCCTTACCACCACTCTTCTGGAGCTCTCTCCCCTGGTGTCTGCTCCTAGTCCTCTTCTTCAACTCTGGTCCAGCCTTTTTCTATCCATCTTCTGGATCTTGTCCAATTTCCTCCATAACTGATGAGCTGGCGGCCGAATCACTCTATAGTTTCTCCTATTTCCCGATTTTCTCTCTCTCCTCTAAAGCTGGTTGAGGTCCCTCACAGTCACAGAATTAGGGTATTTGGTCAAACTCTCCCTCACCAGAAAAGGGTAGGTTTTGGATGGTGGTGGAAGGCCCCCGTGGGGACGAGATGGTTGGGTGCTCGCACTCCCTCGCATTCTCTACATACGGATGGAAAGTATTCAAAGTCCTTGTTCAAGTAGTTTGTTATGCGATTTGCCTATTTCATATTGCCGGTGATAGATACCGTGTAAAAGCTTCATTTTGCTTCAAATTTTACAAGCATATGACTTTCTTTTTGGCCTTCGTTTTTGGGTTAATTTTCTTTTTCCCTTTTGAAGTTAAAGTTTCTTTCTTTATTCAAAATTTCTGTTGCAGATATGGATAGTGGGGCTTGTCCAAGCTTGTTTCCATTGCACCGATGCAAAACTGTTCACCTGGTTCGTGTTGAATTTAGATTTCTGTTTATATTGTTTGGTTTCAAGGACATTCAAGATGGCATTCTTTCTTGGCTTTTGCTCAAAAATCAAGGGCATTGAGGTCTTGTAAAATGATGCATCTAGGTGAGGCATGCTCAAGGGATTCACAATGTAGAAGGAGATAAGGACTTCAAAGCATACATGTCTCCTGAATATTTTGATGCGCACCTTACACGACTAGGCTGGCAGCAGGTGGTTATGTTCTTGTTTGCATAACAACAATGCAATCTAATTCAGATCATCCTCTACTGGTAATAACTAATAAAAAGTTGCAATCCTTGGGAGAAATTTTTACAGGTTGATAATTTGTGTAAGCATGTACACACTTGTGGCCTTGCCAAGAGGATAGAGTTAGTCATCACGTCCCCTTTAATGAGGTACTGATGCAGGCATTTCATAATTCTTTCTAGAGCCTTGCTCATCAATATCTTTCCTCGCAGTCTTTTGAACACAGGATTGCACTTCAGCAATAAAATCATGAATCTTATGCATTATGTTGGTTTCTGATTATCTTAGGCAGAATTTTCCAATAAATAAGTACTTGTTAATTTTTTTTGAAGAGTCAGAAGCTTGAAAGGCCTTTTAAATGCATTGACAATGAATTGTTCATTTAAATTTTGCTCCGTGCATTGACATTGGTAGTATGGTACTGCTGTGCTGCATAGTGATGCATAGCTTCCTCACATGCTTTAAACTTACTATTTTAATCAGTTCCTTGCTGTGTATTTAGAAGCATAGTTTTTCTTGTAAATTCCCTGTGATCAAGAACATGTTATGTCTACTCTAGCTTGTGAACGGTATCATTTGTTTTGCCATTAATCATTTTTAAAGAATGCTTTTAAAGTGCTTCTACTTGTTTTATGCGGAGTTCTTCGCAAATTGTAAATATTATTACACCAGACGAGACCAGTGTACGTGGCTAGTTTGCACACTCAGAGTATTTATATGTCTTAATTATATATGTAAATATATTGTATACCTAGTGGTTTCTGTTAAAAATCTTCTGTTATTTATGTTCAGCTGGTAGGAGTCTGCTCTGCTGTAACTTGTCTCATCTAGACCTTGAAACATGTATTAGTATTGGGGCTGGACAAATTTGATATCAACTGGTATAGAAGTTAACTTACAAAACAGATATATCTTTGAATGTAATAATAGAATTTACTAATTTATGTTCCCTCTTCTTTAGAACTTGCATTTAGTTTATAATGAATCGTTGGTTTAATCATTAGCCATGGCGTTAATGAATTGTGATCTCATAATCTTGTAGGACGCTGCAAACGGCTGTTGGAGTATTTGGTGGCGAGGGTTACACAGATGGGATGGATGTTGTTCCACTTATGGTGGCAAATGCAGGAAACAGTGACCGTGCTGCAATTTCAAGTCTAAACTGCCCACCAATTATTGCATTAGAACTTTGTCGGGAACGTGAGGTGTGTCTTGCATTTTATTTGTGTACAGTAATGTATATCTCTTGCCATGATGTTTAATGGATACACAATTTAGCTGGTAATTTAACCTTGCAGCCAATACCCAGAGCATGTTAATGATCTTGTTGGCTAGTTTTTTTAAGATAGCTTGAATCTAATGCTTTCCTAGATAAGGGATTTACCATCCAATCTATCCTAGATCATGGCTATAGTCAATGTTCAGATTTCTGTGTGTATTGTCTGTACATTTTTCTCAAAATTTCTTTTTGGTTTCAGAGAGGTCACCCTTGTGATAACAGGAGAAATATCAGTGACTATCGGGTTCTCTTTCCTGCAGTTGATTTTTCAGTGGCAAGTAATTAAAATATCTGTACACTCAAAACAATTACTTGTTTTGACTCATGGGTTTTGGTTACCAAATGAAAGCCTGGCCGGACTCTGGTCATTTGCATAGATGCTGAGTTGAATGACTTTGAGTTTCTATTCAGGTAGAAAGTGATAAGGACACATTCTGGAGGCCTGAAGGTGGGGAGACTAAAGAAGAAGTTGCAGCTCGGGGTTTGAAGCTAATTAACTGGTAAATAACCTATTTTCTCTTTGATAGCATTTTTTGTTTTTTTATCCAGCATAGAAATTGGTACTTAGCTATTGGAGTGGTTTAAATCCTGACCTTCAACCTTAGAATTACGGTTTTGAAAGTGGGTGCTCTTAGATTGCAAGTTAGAAGCGATATTTAAAAGGTACAGCCCTGGAAGACTTTGACTAATACTCAATGTACGTGCAACTGCTAGCCTGCTACATAGAAGTAGGTTTCCACTCAGATTTTTCTTTCAACTCAAGTTTCTGATACAATATGTTCAAATACTGTCATCAAGTTGTTCAATAATAATGTAAATATACAGGGAACCTTAGGTGCTCTCGACAATTCATTTTGCAGGTTGTGGACACGGAAAGAGAAGGAGATAGCAATAGTTAGCCATGGCGGGTTCTTGTTTAATACATTAACTGCATTTGGAAATGATTGTCATCCATTGGTGAAGGAGGAAATTCGCAAATCGTAAACATCCGTCCATCCCTCTTGCTTTAGTTTTAGAGATGGAAATATTGCTATTATGTTACCTTCTTCTAAACGAAATGACTGTTTACCTTTTGTATTCACAGCTTTGCAAATTGTGAGCTTCGGTCCATGGTCATTATTGATAGAAGGTGAGCCTGGCTCAACTTGTTCATAATTACATTGAACTCATAATTCTGGCTTGTTCCTGATATTGAAATGTTTCTCTTCCTCCAGCATGATAGGATCAGATTCCTCAAGAACAAACTATCCTGGAGGGATTCCTGCAGGTTTGGATCCTCCCAGTGATGTTGTTGCTGATAAGAAAACTGAGAAAGGACCTGATAATAACTCTGCTCTTTAAAAATCCAGTGGTGTTTGCTCATGGTTTGGTAAGAGCAATTGTTGGAAACCCTGTGTCCTTAATTTTCCACAATATGTATTACCATTTCAATTTTTTTTTTCTTCCATGGTGATGCCATGAAATGGACAGAACACCAAACAGGTGCCTTTTATTTGGACATTGAAAACAAAGAAGTTCAAATTATTCTATGAAATGCATTTTATACAATAGCATATAATCATGTACACGGCATAAGTTTAAGACTGAGAGCTCCTAATTTGTCTTCAAAACATTGTAGAAGGATACAGGCTTCTACTTAGACTCGGCACATAGCTCTGGGAATTTGAGACAGTTCGCTTACGTTAGTGATGCATTTAGCTAGTATAGATATAGAGAGAGTCCTATCTCTAAATACAAAAAAGTATTATACAATTTAGGTTGT